GAACTGGAATTCATTTTCTTCAGCATGATAACCAAGACTCAGAAAGCAAGTACAGTGTATGCTTGCTCATGATGGGGTCCTAGCTCCTGATTGTCGTCACATTTGTCACACTGTGCGTGTGTACAGGAAGGAGTGTGCAGGGCATGGGAAGCAAGCCAAGGCTTATGAAAGTTGAATGGGAAGCACTATGAAAGGAACAGGAGACTGGAGACTGAGGCTGGGATGTAGGAGAGGAGGAGGGGGAGGAGGGAGAAGAGAGAGAAAGAAGAGAAAGGAGAGCAAAAGAAGAGGGAGGAGGGAGAGGAAGGAGAAGAGAGGGAGGAGGATCGCCTAAAACGAAGTATTGTTGAGGTAATTGTTTGAAAATGGCCCCTGGTCAAGCCGACTATCTAAGCTGCAGCGGCTCTGCCTAGCTCAGCCGCCATGTTTCTCAGCCAGAGGCCACTTGCGCACTACAGCTAGAAACATCCAGCCAGAAACACCAGCTCTGCCACTCACAAGACGTCAGCGTGGGTGATGGCTCTGCCAATCTTCCACGCTGTCTCCACAAGGCTGGGCATTGCCCAGACCATCCCGCCATCCACGTGGGCTCAGTAGGAAAATGAGATTCTAATGCTTAAATTATCCAAAGGCCTATATATTTGGTAATGATCAGTAACAAGATGCCCACATAATCAGAAGTGTAACCCAATACTCAACCTAGGTATAACAGCTACCTTTGACTGCTACAAACACCTGAACATCTGCCTCCATGTCCTCCTCTCTCCTGTCTCCTCCTCTTCCTTCTCCTTATTCCTCCCACCTTAGCTCCTCTTACAAAGTATATCTGGACAGACCATGAGCAAATATGTGACTTTGTGTATTGATTTAAAAACTAATTAAATAAAGTGGGGCTAGAGAGCTGGCTTAGCAGTTACAAGAACTGGCTGCTCTTGCAGAAGACCAGGGTTCAATTCCCAGCACCCACATGACAGCTCACAACCATGTAAATTCCAGGAGTCTAGTGCCCTCTTCTGGCCTGTGCCAGCACTGCACACACAATGGTGAATATACACACATGCAAGCAAACAGACACAGCATACATACACAAATAGAGAAAGTGGGGCTAGAGAAGTGGCTTAGCAGTTACAAGAACTGGCTGCTCTTTCTTCTTGTTTCTTCTCTGAACATGACCATTGTCAAACTGTAACTAAGCCCCCTGAATGACCAACCACCCACCCCGCCTCTAGGGGGCCATAGTATTTATCTACCCTCTGAAAAGTTCCCAGAATTCCAATGTCACACAATCACAGAAACTATCTGCAGCTGGCAAAACCACGCCTCCGTTAGAGCACTAGGCAAATCATAGTCAGCTGCTGTGGACGGTCGGAAACAGCCCCGTATCCCCACACCTGGGATTAAAACGAAAGCAAGCTCTTTCGAGTCTTGGCTCCAAGATGACCAAAAAATAAAAAAAATAAAAAGAAACAATGGTCGTGCCAAAAAGGTCCGCGGCCATGTGCAGCCAATTCGCGGCACAAACTGCGCCCGGTGCCTGCCCGAGGATAAGGGTGAAGAAGTTTGTCATTCAGAACATTGTAGAAGCCGCTGCTGTCAGGGACATACCTGAAGCAAGCGTCTCCAACGCTTACATGTTTCCCAAGCTCTAGGCCATGCTGCATTACTGTGTGAGCTGTGCCATCCATAGCCAGGTCGTCAGGAATCAATCTCGTGAAGCCCAGAAGGACCGAAATCCGCCGCCACCATTCAGACCTGCTGGCACTGCGCCACGTCCTCCACCAAAGCCCATGTAAAGAGGTGGTTTCGTAAGGGCGGAAGGAAAGATGCCTTGGATTGGAAAAATAAAATGGAAGTTCTACTTTATGTGTCAAAACAAAACAAAAATACAACAACAAAAAAACCCCACAAAAACCAAAAAACAAAACAGACAAAAAAAAACCCCAAAATAATATTTATAATATTTCTGTGATTTTAAAGAAACCAAAATTCCAGAATTCTCAGTACACTCGCCCAAGCTACAAGAAACAATGAATGTTTGGGGCAGCTTCCAGACCACAGCCCGAGATCCTGTTGAGCTCAGTTGTAATTGTTGGGTCCAAAACAGTGCTAAATGACAGTTTGGGCTCATCCGGCTCAGGCTGGGTGTTGACCAGTGTTGTGTTGGAATGGTCGCATCTGGATAGGCCACACCAGGCCAAAGCAGTTCCACGTGGCAGACGTTTTATTAGGAAAGAACAGGAACAAAGAGGAGAAAGACAAAAGACAAGGAAAGAAACAAGTTGAAGGTGGGAAAAGATTCCAGTTTTATCTAGGCTGTGATGAGGCTGTTCGCAGGTGAGTGTGAGGAGTGGGCTCTAAGAAGGTATGCAGGGTTGTCATAGCAACAGATGTCACCTATGTGTGACATTCTTGAGTTTGGAGCCTGTTTGCCAAGCTGGCTCTGGATACCAACAACCAGGAAAACAGAAGGATTGCTGGCTGATAAACCTTTGCTTTCCCCAGAAACCCAGTCTACAGGGGATTCTGCTTGTCAGGAAAAGATTTTACTTCCTTTATCCTCTCCTACCCCGGGGCAATTAGCGCTGGCAAGGGCCTCTAGTTACCAATGAAGTCAAACAAGCCTGTAACAGATCACAGTCCCCAGACTGTTCTAATTCCTTCTAATCCCCCCCACCTACACACACACACACACACACACACACACACACACACACACACACACACCAGGATGTCCCTATAAAACTGGCAAGGCTTCTTCTGCCTTTTGCCAGTCTCTCTGCCTCCTCTCCCTCCCCGTTCCCCCCAGCCCCCGTATCCTTGGCAGTTTGTTCTCCCAGAAACCTTACCCACAGAGTGGTCTAACTAGGTGGTTTGACAGCATCTCAACAACAACTGCTCTAAGTCACTCCCTGGGAGACTTCATTTTACAAGCTGCTTTTGACTCCGTTCTGAGCGTGTAGGATGATGGCAGCCCCTGGACAGATCCCGAGTCGGCTCCATCTACCAGGCTCCACCCATCCGTTTTGCCAGACTCCACCCATCCGTTCTGCCAGGCTCCACCCATCCGTTTTGCCAGGCTCCATCCATCCAGTCTGCCAGGCTCCACCCATCCAGTCTGCCAGGCTCCACCCATCCGTTCTGCCAGGCTCCACCCATCCAGCATAGACTGACAACTGCTTAATTCCCAGGGAGCCAAACTATACATTTATTAGGGGGTGGCGATGGAATTGAGGCCGTAGGGGCCCATGGGTGTGTTAAAATCTCATCAGGGAAATGAGGCTCAGGAAGTTATTGGACACACTATACTGAAGAAAAGGCTCCCTCCTCTGCATGCAATAAAACCATGGACACCTTTCACTGAGATGGCTTGGTAACTTATTGTAGGCGAAGCTGGCAGTCACAGCATGGGACACAGGTCCAGCCAACCCATCCTAAATGAGCCAATTAAAGGAGCCAATTTCATAGCAGAAGGTACTGGAGAGATGGCTCAGTGGTTAAGAGCATGGCTGCTCTTCCCAGAGGAGCCAGGTTCGATTCCCACCACCCACATAATAAATTACAACTGTCCATATAACTGTTCCAGTCCCAGGGGATCGGATACCCTCACCTGCCCTCTGGGAGCTTACACCATCATCTTATACCTGAGGCATGGCACCTGGGACTCAGAAACAGAGGACTCCTTCCTCACTGTCTCTGGAGCTTTGTTGCAACTCAGTGCCCCCTTGTTGACATGGTCTACTTGACCCCAATGGCCGTCCACCTTTGCACGGGCAGACGGGAGAGTTAACATGCTACTTAGTGTGATTCGTATTTCGATAAGTTTATAGCATCAATCTCAAGCGAGCATCTCCTGCCCCAACACAAGCTACCTTCATCTGAGAAGAGAGAATCTCAACTGAGAAAATGTTTCCATAAAACTGGCCTTTAGGCAAGCCTATGGAGCACTTGCTCAATTAGTGATTGACGGGAGAGGGTCCCGCCCATGATGGGTCATGTCAACCCTGGGCAGGTGGTCCTGGGGTGTATGGAAAAAGCAGACTGAGCAAGTCACGAGGAGCAAACGAAAAAGCACCAAGCACTCATCCATGGCCTCTGTCCCTGACTTGTTGAGTTCCTGCCCTGACTTCCCTGCATGGTGGACAATCTCTAAGGTACAATTTTAAAAAAAAAACCCTTTCCTCCCCAGGTTGCTTTTGGGACACGGTATTTACAGAAGAGATAGAAATCCTAACCAAGACAAGATATATAGATGTATTTACTGGGTACTGTGATGTAAGAGTTACAATTAGTGGTGAACATAGCAAAAAAATGCCTTTTAGACATGAAAAAATAACCTGGTAAGGAACCCAACCGTACACGCAAGGCTGCACCTGATAACCAGAACCCGGAGACATCACTCACTGAAGATAGCCAGACAGAAAACTTTGTGAGGAGAGAAGCTCACATTGTCCACTTGACCGTATGGAAACAGAGATCAGGAGCAATCCTCTGGTCTTCACAGCTTTGGGACTGCGGTAGACATCAGAGAAACATCACCTCAATGGGCCCTGCAGCCGGAGACTCTGACCCTGGACCTGGCCTCTAGCTAAGATACACGACAGTTGAGCAGCCTTGAGGAGACTGGCTGAGGTCTGTCGTTAGGAAGATGGAGTGGGCATGCTGTGTGATGACCCCCGTAAGTGAGCATAACCTAGTCTAACCCTGTCGCTCAAGACGCTATTAGTAACAGAGACACTATGAGTGATTAAGAACGAAACAAACGAATTTGCCTCTGCCAGATCACCTGGCAGATGAGATTATGTGGCCAAGTCGCTGCCATTGAAATTGCTGAACCTTGTTCCCCTGTTGGTAAACAACCTTCTGCGCCCACAACAGAGCCTGTCCGGAGACTCCCTCCGAGCTCCCGTTCCTTTCTGCCTTGAAGGAAGAAAACTGAGTTTCACTTTCCATTTTCCTCAAAGCTTGGTTTCTGCTTCCAGTTTCACCGGGCTGCAGCCCAGGAGGGAGGGGCAGAGTGCTGCCCTGAGAAATCTTGGGCTTTTCTCCTCCCTAGAAGCAGAGGCTACTCTCTCCATCCCACTGTCTCCTTCTCCAGAGAAGGCAGCTGGGAAGCTTCTTCCAGCAGTGCTGAGAAACTTCAATCCAGGGGACAGGCTGATCCGGCTGACATGGATCCAATCCCAGACCTGTATGGGACCCCCGGGGACAGTCTAGATCGCTTTCTGGAACACAGCCTTCAGCCCCAGAGGGACTGGAAAGAGGAAGGGCAGGATGCCTGGAACAGAATTGAGAGGTTCTTTCAGGTACAGTGCTTCCGTGATGAGCTGCTCCTGGACCAAGAAGTCAAAGTGCTTAAGGTGGTGAAGGTGAGTGCACTGGGTTCTGGGTTCAAATCTCACCTCTGCCCTGTGGGGCTTGTAACCTTGAGAGGTTGGGCCATTTCACCCCTCTGAGCCTGTGTCGTCGTCTTCTTCTTCTTCTTCTTCTTCTTCTTCTTCTTCTTCTTCTTCTTCTTCTTCTTCTTCTTCTTCTTCTTCTTCTTC